TTATCTATGGATTCTCAAAATTTCAGATTTTTGTGCATGTTCGTCTGAGCACAGAAAATCGCCAAAGTTGCCTCTTGCAAAACGCCTGTTTCGTTGTGCCTGACCTCCCTGTTTTGAGAAGACGGGGCTCAACGCCTGGGCCTGAGGGCCCTTTTGCAGTTCACATGCCCTCACTTCTTTTTGGGGTCCACTTCTACTCGAGGACCGGTCCAATGCCCCCCACTTCTTTTTGGGGTCCACTTCCACCCGAGGACCGGTCCTTCGTTTTTCAAAATGTCCCGGTTCTACCAGAGCTAGCTGTAGGTAGTCCGCAATTTTGGCAAGGGCTGGTCCCCCAATTTTTTTGCCCCCTAAGAACCCACTTTGCGTCCTGGTCGCCCACCACCAAAAATGCGACACCTTGACACAGACGCGGAAGCCCACTATACCGCAGCCTAAGGGCTGCGAACAATCCAAATAAATAAACACACAATGAACAATAACCCAAGACAAAGCAGGAGGTAACAGGAATTGAGTTTTCTCTTCTTTACTCACTCAATTGCTGCCACCTGCCTGGAGAGAGAAGATTGGTTAGTCTGAGCAAGTGAGTGCTCAGTCTCAGCAGACCACTTGAGGGTCAGGGTCAGTTTAGAGTCCACTCAGGTAAAAATCCATTTCACGATTTTTCCATCCCTGCCCTGACACAACAATCGCATGCAATACTTGCAAATCCTGGATCAACGACTGACAGGATGCAGTCTTGGACTAATTAGTGTTGATCAGTAATTAGACAGAGTGACTAATTAGGGTTAGACAGGTGTCCACTGATGACCAAGATGTAGCGATTTACAGGTAACCGTACTTTTAGACCTACCCTACGGACCTCGCCACTAGATGACCTTGTATGCCATACCCTGGGTATGGCAAATTACAGTTTTCACTTTAACTGACTCAGAACATCAAATCTGGATGTGCGATTTCAGACACTGACTAAATACTGAATTGCGATTTACCAGGGACTGGCATAATTGAATTCTGACGGACAGAATCAAAGTTATGACTGACCCTAGTCCAGCCTAGCTTTAGCTATGTCAACGCAAAATTCAAATTTGCATTATCACTGAAGACAGGACCCTGAATTCACCAATTCACTACACAGTGTCAATCGCAATGCTGTAAAGTAGTCACAAATGCAATATGAGTCAGAAAGAAGGTCAAACAGGGTTAGTAGAAGTCAAAGAAGATAGGTAGGGGAAGTTGGATATGGCTGTCCCACAGTCTGAATTTCGATTTTCAACTGTATACTAACAGACAACCCAAATTTCGCTATTCTAAAAATAGTCCCAGAATCGCCACACTGGATGGAGTAAGGAACACACTTACTTCAGGGTCAACTCGGAAGAAGATGCATGAAACCCTGGCTATGGCTGACTGGTCAACCCCATCTCGCCAGTTTCATCTCCTGACAGTATCCAATGTTCCCACGTACCAAATTGCCTCAAACTTGGTGATCTAGTAGATTACCCTGAGGCGCTTCACCCCCAACTGACAGATTCAGAGAATTCAGACTCCCAGGTGTCAATAACTGACAAAGTCAGTGCAATGCCACATCACCCTGTACTGCGCTGCCTGGAAATTGGGGATCCTGACCCAATTCCACAATCGCCACCTCCTGGGATCACTTCCTTGACAATCGCCAACCTCCAGGTGAACCGCCAGGCTATATTTAGCCTCTCAGAGCCTCTTCGGCCTTTGAGTCCCAACCGCCAATCACTCCTGCACAACTCTAGTCAGGAGTGAGTCACCCTCTGCCCAATCTTCTCGCCACACACTCACAGCCACCACCCTTACTGACAACAACCCTGAAGATGATGAATCGCCATGAGACTCAACTCCAGTATCTCGCCAGATGATGATGGATACTCCAACTCATCAACCGCTCCAGAGTCTGGATCCAATTGCTCCGATACCAACTGTTATGATTCTGGTTGTTTGTTGCCTGAAGGCCAACACTCACTCACAAAGGCTTCCAGGTATGGCCATACATACACAAAAGGAAGGGGAGAGGATAGGAGTATCACACCGCACAGGGAGAGATAACACAACGGAAGACTTGACCATGCGATATGACAGGGTACACTGAAAGTGCAATTCACTCCACTCAATCCTCACAACCAGTCATAGAGAAAAGCCGAGCAGATCACATCCAGGAAACAATGAAACGATGATAGTCCAAACCCAGTTATACACTGTTTATTAAGCTCAGAGTCTCGAATTGTCAGGATAACTTCAGAACTACAGTGTGCTGCTCAGAAATGAGCAGCGCTTCACTCCCCAACCCTGAATAACACCCGTAACACCCCTGAGTCCCCGAAACATCAAGCGCCACCCAGATACAGCCTCCTGAGGGAAGCGCCACCCTGAAACAGGCCTCTGAGGCCAAGCGCCACTCGGAGGATGAAGAAGAAGACCAGCGCCACTGTATCTGATGATGACAAAGTGTCGGAAGACTTCCCGGGTGGAAGTCTGCAGCAGCGCCACCAAACCCTGACAAGATGACCTCTGAGGAAGAAAGCCGCAGCTATGGCTGCAGCGCCAACACCCTGGAACCCCACTCCGGAGGAGGGTCCAGCAGAGCACCAATCCCTCTCGCCTCCGGCAGACCTCGATAACCCAGACCTCTGTCAGCCCCTGCGTACTGGCAGAGTACAGCGCAGGTCCCAGCTATGGCCGGCGCTCCGAAGGTCTGGCTATGCCTGTCTCCTTCCACGCTGAGCCGTCACCACTTCCGGTTCACGAGTAGCGCAGCAGCGATGTACTCAGTACCAACTGCCAAAAGCCCTGAACCGATGTGCCCATCCTATCTATCTCCTACACTAGCCTAGACTCGACCTAGACTGGACTGACTGACCGGCCGGTACCGTTTCTGTTTCGGGCTCTCGGCCTCTAGGGACCCGGGTATAGGCTATAGGACCGTCTATCAGAATAGGCCCTTAGGGCCTGTCTGTCCTAGGGGTAGCCCGGGCCTGCTATTCGCAGTTAGGGGAGCTGTAGGGAATCCTGTTAGTACCGGGCCTGTAATTTCCCGGATTTGCAGCTGTGTCCCTCACGAATTTCCCTCGCAGGTAGGTCTCTCGGTTAGCCCTCAGCCAAACAAAATTGTGAACCTGTCCTACCTAAAGTACAGCCTCAACAGAGAGAGGCTACAGGCGACCAGCAAACAGCAATTCATTGCAGAAAGCTCTCCTTGACATTGGTTTTCAGTATTATGAACCTCCATTGGTGTATTATTGGTGCAATGCTGCTCTCTGGTCACGGTGTGACTATCTGGCTTTCAATGTGATGGTGTAATCTGAAATTGTCATCTCGCTGTTGCTCATTTTCCTTGCACATATTACATACCTATGTTTATGAACAAGAGGAATAAAACTGACCTTTTTCTCCAGGTGTTCTCCGAGAATCTGCACCTTCTTCTCCAGCAACATGTTCTTCATTGTGCTCCTCTGCTGCACGTCATAGATACTGCTTTCAAATCGTTGGTAGAGCTCATCCCGCTCAGCTTGTACCTGTTTCACAGCCCGCCCATAAGCTCCATGACCAAAGAAATGCAAGAGGCCGCTTCCTAACAAAAGAACACAAACCATCAAATCAATCCGCCCTGATCTTTTTGGCCTGTGAAGATGGACAGTTTTTTTCCCACTTTTCGTGACTGAATTGCCAAGGCTGCAATGGCCAGAATGTATGTGGTCGTCCACATGTCCTGGTACAGATCGTAAACCTAGCAGTGCGGATCCACAGGTTCATTGTGACATTGTGGCCATCTTTCTTTTCTTTTTGGGTGAACTGCAATTTTGTGCCACCCGCAGACTCATGGGCAGAAAAAAGTGCAGCCCAAAAATTGAGATGCTGGTTATGACCAAAAAATAGAAATTACTAAATTAGCAGAAAAGAAAGGCAAACGCGAAACTTTCAAGGCTAATTTTGAAGCAGACACAGGACGATGCGCAAGCGCCGACCCAGTTAGCGCTACCTGACCAGCATTGACCCACGGAAACGAAGTTGATGCCGACGACTGTGGGGGGGGACACGACCGGAAGAGGGCCGATGCCAGCATTCCTCCATAGCCACTACGGCGCAGAGGTAAAGCGACGAGCGTGGGTGACGTGGCACCCAGACTGGGAGCGGCTTCGCCATCACGGGCCGCCCCGGCCTCGCACACAGAGGACTACACGTGGCCGACGTTCCAAAGACCGCCATAGCAATGGTGAGAGGGAGCGGCATCACCAGGTCAAATGCGATGGGACACGGACGACCGACCGAGCAGATACGCGTGGGACGAGACAGCGACATCGATCGCCGAGGAAGTGACGGGAGCGGATCGCACGTACAGATAACAGCCTCGACTGTCGAGGAAGCGACAGCTGACGAGCGGAAAAAGGGATTTGAACCCGAGTGGATCGCACGTGCAGCCGCCATAGAGGCTCCGATCCCAGCATCGACTGCCAAGGAAGCAACGGGAGTGGATCACATGTGCAGCCTCCATAGAGGCTTTGACCCAACAGCAGGCCGCGACAAAGAGGAATCGTCCTCGTGGAAGGTCGAGAGTTGTCAAAGCAAGCTCCATAGCAGAAGTGGAACTAAGGGAGACACACCATCAAAATTAAAAAACGGAAAATAGGGAAACACATAAACAAAACAGGAGGGCAGTAGAGGAGAGTGTGCACAGTTCTAGGGAGGGGAATTGGGGATCGGAGAAGCGAGGAACAGGGTGCACTAGTGGGGCTCGAACCGAGGAGGGTAACGACGGAGCAGGAAGACTGGGGAAGGGAAAGAGCAAGAGAAGAGTGACGCCATCAGTGCACCCAAATGAGACAATGGAGAGAAAACAACACGGTGTGAGCGGACGAAAAGGAATCTAAGGAGAAAGGAGGAAACAAGCATCCAAGGTAAGGCGGCGTGCAGCACAAGCAGCTCCGACAGGATGGCAGCATCCATAGAAGATGCAAAACTGGATCTGGAAGTGTCCTATGCCCAAGCGGTGGGGACACAGCAGCTGGAACTGTCCATGGCCCACGGATCCAAGAAGGGCGGCGCTCCGCCTCAACCGGCAAGAAGCAGAGAGGCATCCGGGGACTTCGGCAGTCGAGAGCAAGAAGTCAATCAACCATCGAACAAGCTAGGTCAGCGTGCCTGGGGCTTCTTGGTGGCCAGAACTGACATCAAGTCAGAGGTAAGAATATGCAAGGAGAAACCTCGAGCGGACGGGGGGGAAGAATCAGAGGTGGACGTGTGGGAATATCCAGAAGAAGACATGGGGGAAGTCAATGCTCTCTATGAAAAACATGCCGTGCTGTTCGTCTTTTTGCACAAAATCAAAGAACAATCATTAATTGATAAAAGGGCATGGGTGCTGGATCACCTGCCAGCGTGTGGCATACTGCACAGCCACACGGGCCTGCAGGGCCCGACCAGTGTCGTCTCAGCCTAAAAGCCTGAAAACAAGGGCCTACAGGCCCTGTGTCGTTTCAGCCTAAAAGCCTGAAAATGAAAGGCCTTCCACGATTCAGACCCCAAATTCGGATCTCAGGTTCAGATGCCCAGGTCATGAAAAGGCCGAGTCTGTCAAACTCAGAAAAGTCACCGAGTCTGTCAAACTCAGAAAAGTCACAATCGGGTACCTCAGCAGTCTGGTCCAACAGGCACCCATCAAACAGTCACATCTCAGGGACAAGCGTCATGTCTCATAATAAAAGCCATTCAGAAGAGTCACACCCCACGAGAGAAAAGACAAATTTACAAGTAGGAGTCATGTCTCAAAGGCAGGAGTCACGTTTCCTAATGAAAATTCATATTGAAGAGTCACATCCCACGAGTAAAGGCAGTATCACAGGCAAAACTCGTGACCCACAGGCAGGAGTCAGTATCCACAGTCAAAAGTCATGTTCTCAAATGAAAAGTCATGACCCAAAGGCCCAAGCAGCAGCAGACCCATGGAAATTCGGGAAGGTTCCAGGCCTTGACATTCAGAAGCAGACAGGCCGTGGGGATGTGGTACCGGAACCAGTCAGGCCCCAGGAAGCAGCGGCTGGCACGAGTTGAAGTGCATTCCAAGACTACAAAAGGACCGGCCAGCCTACCATTCGGGCAGATGCTCATTCGCATGAGAGTGTGGAAGTGCTTGTGCACTTGTGCGCTAGTGTGGGAGCTGCGCTATGCCAGAGAGCAGCACTGAGTGAGATGAGAGAGAGGAAGTAGGCGCTGGCAGAGAAGAAGGCAGCCATAGCTGCGCCAGCGCTAAGAGGCAACGTAGTTAGTAGTTATCAGTAATAGGGCAGTGAGTAGTATTCAGAGTTGATCCTCATGTGTGTGTTAGTAGCAGGGAGTGCGCATGTGAGAGAAGAGGAAGACTGAAGAGTGAAGACCAGAACCATCAAGTGAGAAAGAGAGATTTAGAGGGAGAGAGAGTGAGCTATGGTAGATGCTTACCTGAAGGGTGTTGAACTTGATGTTGGAAACAAGCGCTGATGGGCGCTGACGCTGAGACTCTTGATAATGGAAGAAGACTTGTAATCTTGTTGTGCATAGGACAGTTGAACTCTTGAATCTCTCTTTTAAATCTAGTTGTGATAATTGAGCTGTGCCATCTGGTTTACTACCTATCTATTCTTAGTGCAAAGTGTGTGACAATGCAACCTGTGAATCTGTGAGGCTTGCATGCTGACTTGAGCACTCCATCGTGTGGTGAGCTTTGAGGCTAATTGCAAAAACGAGGGCCTACAGGCCCTGTGTCGTTTCAGCCTAAAAGCCTGAAAACGAGGGCCATTTTCAGGCCCTCATAAAGTCGACCTGTGTCGTTTCAGCCTGAAAGCCTGAAAACGAGGGCCTACAGGCCCTGTGTCGTTTCAGCCTAAAAGCCTGAAAACGAGGGCCATTTTCAGGCCCTCATAAAGTCGACCTGCCCTGAAACTTAGGCACCAGACCAGGGTTTTAGGACAGGCCATTTTGGGCCTGTTTTCAAGACAACCTTTGTTTGAACTTCAACGCCAGGGTCTGGCACGTTTTGGCATTGGCAAGAGCAGCCTCCTGGACGGGCCAGCACTATATAAGACTGTCCTGCCCTACAGGCTGCAGGTAGTCACGAGGTAGTTCATAGGGACTTCCCAGGCACTTCACGTGCAGGAGGCAGGAGGCAGTCTTCGGGATTCGGCAGCAGCACTCTGGAGGAGCGCTGCAGTAGTAGTAGTAGCATTAGCAGTAGTCTTCAGCGCTGGGCGCTATTAGGAGCTAGAGTAGCGTTGGAGAGAGAGAGATGGTCGGCGGAGGCCAGGGAGACTTACCTGTGGCGCCATAGCTCCAGCTTCGTCTTC